TTTAGTATGATGATCTGGGAACAACACCAACACGAGGATATCAGATCGTGCAGTACACTGCATCCGCCCAGTACTTCCAAAGATGCAAAAATAATAAGACTGCCCTCAAACAATGTTTTCACACATAGACAATAACAATGGGTCGTACCACCACGTGGATCGTTTTGTCTTTTCTTGTGTTAGTGATAACAATAATAGGCTGCACGCAATGATCAGAAACATGTGGAGGGACAAACCTGGAATAAGAGCAAAGACAAAACTGCCACCAATTGACAGCAGCAGTCAAGCAAGAGCACTATTTTAGCATCGGTGTGAGCATCCAACCAATACTGGTGGGAAACGTTTTCTTTACTACTCTGCCCAGAATCCCAGAGTGGCTCGTTCAGCAACGACACCATGACCTGGGCTTTGCACATACAGGACCTTCTCCTTTTATTGTGATCAGAATAACTCTTCTGAAGGACGCAATTAGTCAAAAATTTCTAAAAAGGACCTTTTATGAATATTTTCTACATTCATTTAGAAGAACAAGACCACCCTGACAAGTTTCAGTTCTGGTGATTAAAGTGTGAGAGAGAGATTTGAAACTACAACCAGATCTGGAGATTTAACAGCTGCTTTTTGTTGCTGCTTCGCCTCTGCGTGTTCTGAGATGACTGACAGTTTAATGCCAGATGCAACCTTGAACGGATTCGTGTCTGCAGCTGGAATCAAACTAGTAACTGTTTTCTTGCTCTTAACTGACCGCCTCATCCTTCAGCACAGCTGCAAACTGCTGTGCTGATATTTTTGAAAACAGTTTCTTTCTAAAGCTCAGGCAGACCTTTACCATGATGAACGTAGATCAGGAGGTTCCACTGGAACATATCTGCTGAATGGACCTCTGCACACCTACACAAATATTATATTATAAAAGCATTTCAAAATATGTATCATCAAATTTTTATTTTAAATATAAAGAAATGTGCTTTCTGTAAATAAAAAATAAATAAAGTGACAATAAACTCTTGAGAAGTGGTGTTTCCTTTCCCCTGAAACATGCTCCAAAGCCTCAATCCGAGCAGAGACTTCAAGTTCATGTTAGCAGACGTAGGGCCGTGCAGACTGCAGATGTTGCTACATCTGGCAACTAAAGAGTAGTTGTCAAACAGCTAACAGATCATCTGCAGAGGAATGGTTTATTTGAAGAGTTTCAGTCA